GGCTTGGCCCCGAGCCAAGGGCTAACACCACATCTGTATTTTCCAGGTATTGGATAACAGAGTCAGTTACAAATATTACAAGAATCTAATGCACAAAGTCTGGTCTTTTTGTTACAGTGAAGCTGTTAGTAAGAATATCAAAAGAAAAATTATTTGAAGAAACTGTGTCTTACATTTGATTAACCATTTCACTGATGCAGATAAATATTTTCCCCTAATAAAACTTCTTGTGTACAGTCAAGCAACAGGAATCTTATTTCTCCCATGCTTTGGAAATTAGATATTTTTAGAAAATACCATCTTATTTCACTCCTTTTCAGAGAATGCATTGAGTATATGTTCCTATATTTTTCAGTTTTATATTCTGAACTTTTAGAATTGGTTGCTGTCTAACCTGGGATATACCCTATTGAAACACAGACATTTCCTTTGTGATTTCGTAGTTGATTCCTCCACCGCCACCTATGATGCCAGATTCTCCTGAGGACGATGAAGCATTGGGGAGCATGTTGATAGCCTGGTACATGAGTGGTTATCACACTGGCTATTACCTGGTACGTGCCACTTTTGTCTTGAAATGTTTTTGTGATTTTGCTTTTCTGTTGCTGCTGCTGTTTTCAGCAAGAAGTTAGACATGGAGGGCTGCTTTTTAGATCTCTAATTTATGATAGCTAAATTTAAGGGTATTTTGTATTGTATAAGTATTCTTGTCCTTGAATAGCAGTCACATGAACTGGCATACATATATAGTCAATGTTGGTTTAATTCTTTGTTCCAGTCCAATTAGGTACTTTTATAGCCAGTGTTTTATAGCCATTCTGAAACAACATGTTCTGTCTTTGTAGACAGGTAGAGTAAATCTGAATATTATTTAGTAGTCTTCTATCTGTTTTCTTTAAGCATGAGCAGTACTATCACGTTTAGGATCAGATTTGGCATTTGTGCATAGACTGTTCATCAGTAATTGCTTCAGATGATTGTGAAGGTCCAGCAGGAGCTGTCAGCATAGTTGTGAAAAATCTGTGACATGAAGTATTGATTTCTATTGTCCTATGTACACTTACAAAGAAAGAAAATTACAGGAGGAAGTAAACTCTTTGCTTTGGAAAAGTTGTAAAGAGGGGATTTGGTGCCATAGGATATCTTCAAAAGACGAGTTTTCTAATTTCTTGCTTCAGAATATATATAATTGTGGATTGCTTTAATTTACTTCTAATTGAACAAGACACATATATTTGAAATTATTCTGTAGAGCCACTGATTATAAAGACAAGAGAAGTAGTTTGGCTGTTGTCCTTTTTTTAAACTGCGCGTCCTGATTTCTCCAAAGAGTTAAAATTCTTGATTTGTAAAGGACTAAAAAAAAAAAATTTGTCAAAAAAATGTTTTTGTTGTGCAACTAAAGCCTTTATTTCCATGTTAGTAAAAACAAGATTATACTAAATTGTATCCTCTAGGGTTTAAAACAAAGTCGAATGGAAGCAGCACTGGAGAGACAAACGCATGCAAAATAACTGTATATCCATCATTGTTTTGAAGGATTGTAAGTATTGTAATTTTGTGCTAAACAAAGATACAGTGTTAGTTGACAAATTTGTTTGAAACTACGGTTCGTTTTACAAGCTCTCAATAAGTTTTGATTCTGTGCAAAAACTGAGCTTCAGGACTTCCATCCTCTCTTACTGCTCTCTACAAAAACCACTTCTGCCACTATTAATCCCTTCTTTGCTTAGCAGCCATGGAACAGTATTTTCTTGACTAGAATGAAGGAAAGTATTTTATTGCTCTAATGGGAGGTTTAACTAGAGCATCTCTCTACATCAGGATTAACAGTGACAGTGCAGCTCGCTTGAACTGTTAAGAGTTACCTTATTTGTTTATGGGCTATTTTGAAAATAAAAGGTTAAGTGACATGCAGTTTTTGTATCTGTGTGGACACCTTCAGAAGCAGCTTCTTTATACAGATGGGATAGCAGGATGTGTAGCTGAACTTTGTTTTCAGGACAAGTTCAACATTTCAGTTTGATATTGTTGAGCAATTCTGTTCTCGTTACTTTAGTGCCTGTGCTTTTATTTTAAATCCTTACTTTAGAATTCTCCAATATATTGTTCAGTTCCTTACAGAACAAAACTATATTCTCTTGGGAACTTGTTTTTCTGATTTTCTGTGAAAATATGTAATTTCTGTGCAGTTGAGTAATTCTTGTTTGTCTGTTTAAAAACAAAAAAAATCTTGTATACTAATTTTTGCTTCTTTTTTAAAGCCAGGTACAAATCTTTCCCACTGAGAGGTGTATACTCTTATGCACTGATGGTTGATGGTGAAGATCAGAATTTTATCAAGACAATTAATCTTAACATTTTCTTTACATTGAGTTGCCCCTAATAACAATTAAATAATGAGACTAGTAATTATATGTGCACTGAAATGAGCTATTTCTTAAAGACCTCTAGTCAAATATATTTAGAAAGCACTGCAGCAGTGTTTTTTACTTTCCTGAAACAATTTTAAGTCTTTTAACCCCACAAGATAGATTTAATTTATCTCTCATTTTTACATCTCTTGGATGCCTCTGAGTTTTTATCTAAGTGACAGCACCAGAACTAGCAATTACAGTATATTCTTTTAGGAGACAGCTATGGCAGCAACATATGTTACAGTGGCCACTGGTGGCAATGATCTGGAAAATGGTATACATCATGTTAAAAGAGGTATCTTATGGGTCTGATTAGAATCCTGAATAGGACAGCTAGATTCAGACAGACTCCTTTTTTTTTGTTTCAAATGCTTGTTAATAAAGTTCTACTTTTCAAACTTTGAATTTAGGGGCGTGGGTTTTTTTGGGGTGGTTTTTATTTTTAGCTTCTGTAGACATCTGTCTGTTGGATGAATGGCTGAAATAATACACAAGAAAGTTTTGCTGTGTGGCCTTTTTCTGAGTACCGTTACTAAAAGCAAATTAGAAAAAGCAGACTGTGTAAAGGTAATGGTAAGTATGGACTTAGATTTCAGCCCTTACAATCTTTACTGTTGCAGAATAGAGGCTGCAGCCACAAAACTAGACAGTAATTTAGTTAATGCCAGTGGTTTGCTTTTTAGGGAAACTAGCCAAATACAGGCCTGAACTTTGCTGCATTCAATTTCTTTTTCTATGGTGGTCAAATGTCAGAAAATCAGTTTTTCCCACAAATAATAGAGCAAAAAGAGAAAGATATAATCTTAACTTCCCTAAGCCACTTTGAAAACTTTTTCTTAATTGTCTGTCTGAAGTAAATTGAGATTTCTTGCAGTGATGCAAAGCTTCTAAATCAGCTGTTCAGCAACTGGTCATTGCCAGAGGCACAACTGCCATCTGCCTCAATCAGCTAGTCCTGCATTAGTATCTGGCCTTATGTTACAGAAAGTGGCATTTATCAGTTTATAAGACTAGTAGAAACTAGCATACAATATTTTTAGTGCAGTCCTGATGATAAAGGGGTTTATGATTTTTATTTCATAAGTGATTTGTGTAATTTATTTAATTGCAAGCAAAAAAACTGAATAGAAATAATTTATTGTAAATAGGCTTTAAGCAAAATTTTACATTTTTCTTTGGAAGATACCAGGTACAATCTGTAACTATATTTGCAAAGTCAGGTTTTTAGAGTTAACATTAGTCCTGTCTTCTGTCCCTTGATCCTTTTACATTAACCTAACCCTGCTGTAGAAGAGATTGGCATGTTTCATCCTGGTAAGAATTTTACAGTTTATGTTTATTTGCAATGCAAGTGTATAATCCTTCATAATACAAGAAGGAAGAGGAAAAAAAAAAACCAAACTGTAACCCTTTCAAGCTTTTCTAGTCTTGAAAAATTGGTGAAAGTGGCAAGACCCATTGCCAAGCTAACTTTAAACTACTAGACTGGGGATGCTGCTCCTTCATGATATCAAACATTTTAAGGTCCTCTGTGTCAAGGAGCCAACCCATCATTACTATTGTCATAAGACCAGGCAATCGAGAAACACGGTGGACAAAAGCCGTCACTGTTGACGCACGGGCTTTGATCTGGTGGGTGAACATACAGCTAATGTCCAGCTCTTTTAAAGCAAGCATGGTATTAAGCGTTCTAAAGAAGTTTCTCCAACCAGTTTCTGTAACATTGCAATTTGCTGACAGTGAGAGCTTTTCAAGTTTCTGGAAATCTCCACAGTTTGCAACCTTTGCTGCAAAAATAACCAGACATTAGTAAGGATTTAAAGATGCTCCAAACCCATATGAAACATGAACAAAAATGCAGTGAAGTTGAGGTATTGTACATCAAAAATAAAGTTGTTACTATTAGGTTGAAAAAAGTAGAACTTTGAACTCAATTTATTTAAGCATTTTAATACCTCAGACTGAGGAGACTGATAAAAGAGATGATACGTTAGCAGGCACATTATTGACTAGTAGAATAAGATACCAGTGTGTTTACAAGTGTTTGAATACTACTCTTACAGAGCAAAGCAAATGCAGCGCCAACTTATGCAACCACTTGAGGTCAGACACCAGATCAGCTTTGCACAGATGCAAGATACTGGGTTCAGCAATCTCTTCCATGCCTGTGTACTATCACATACACTCTTCAGTCCTGCCTTATGGTCAGCCTACTTACAAGATGGGACTCTAGTCATCAAATCACTGCATATGCTAAAATGTATGTCAAAAATAAAGATAACTTGACAGACTTACCTTTGGTTACAAAATAAGACATTTTCCCTAGCCTGTATATGTCAGTTTTAAGACTATACCAAAAAAGTATTAAATTCAAGACATATTTTGGTAATACACAGTTTTAACAGCTAGGGCATATAAACTAATAAAACTAGCAATGAAGTTATGAAGCTCTGTTTTAAGTCAGTCTTTTTTTCCACTGATTAGTTTTCTTGTAATTTATATTGCTTGGTAGAAGACAAGGAGAACTAAGGAGGAATTTCAAAAGAGGATTCAGCAAAGTTAGCATATAAGCAGTGTGAATATACTTTGATGAGTAAGAAATATTTTGGGCTGTGTATAGAACAAACGGGAAGAAATACTTATTAAAAATTACAAATAATTTACAATTGTAACATATACAAACAAGATTAATTTATCCTGAAGCAGTATCTTCTCTACTGAGAAATGTTACTTCATGTTTGAAGTTCCCTCCTTTAAACTCACCTATTTCTAACAGGCTGTCATCATTCAGATATAGTATAAATGAGAAGTGTCTGAGTTGCAGCAGGTGTAGACACTGCTGAGCAATCTGTTTGCCTGCAGACTTTATTCCCTTCCCTCCAGGAAGGATGAGCTCCCCCAGTTTAAGAAGAATACCTAAATTGTACGCTGCAGAGAGAAGACAATCTTTCCTGTTAAGATTAAACAAGTATACGTTTCCTAAATCTTGTAATGCCAATGAGTGACAGCAGCAGAACCAAGTGGAAAAAAAAAAAAACAAACCAACACACCACATTTAAATTTAGATTCTGGGCAATAGGTTACTATCAGCTTTCCTTCCTTGGGTTCATCTCTGACATTGTTGCGAAGGTCGCTTCACTCTCTAAATAGCTTGAAATTGTGATCAACAGAAAAGGCAGGATTACTTCTCCAGAAAAGGTCTAAGAGATCTGATGAGTCCTCTAGAGATAAAAGGAATCTTCCATTGTTGCCAAACTCAAGGGACCCACAGGCAAGAAAAAGAAATGAAGGTAATCCTCCCTTCCCAAAATGCAAACTATTTCAAAATTTTGCTTTTGCAGGAGGACCATCTCAGCTTTCTGAGGTGCTGAACACCTCTGATTCCATAGTTTAAGACAGCCATCCATCTCACTCAGCTCATCCCTCTCAAAAGGATGTGAACGCATACCCTTCATCACAAACTGCTTTGTGGTATCTGATTTAACACTGTAATTATAGATACTCCCCAGTATCTCAGATGGCATTTAAGCTGTTTGAGTTATTTTTTAAGATCTCCAAAAGAACCTGAGACAAAATAATTTTATCAAATGCAACAAATGAGATCAGCTGAAAAGAAAGATATGTACAAACCAAAGATTTCACAAGCTTTCTTCTCATCAAAATACTATATTTCTAGATCCAACACTTTGAGAGACACAAAATTGGGCAGAGAAGCAGCTAGGAGGAAAGGGAAAAAAACCCACATTGTCAGTCTTGGAACTTAAAAGCAGCGGTTTCTCTCATCTGTTAAGTGTTTTAAAGTGAGTTTTCTGTATTAAAAAAAAAAAAATTAAATTTCTACCTAAAGAAAGCAAATCTCCATCTGTCAAAAATGACCCAGTTAACTTGATCTCTGTTAATTTCTTGCATGAAGAAATTGCTGCCAGAAGGGATTCAGAGTTGAAGTAGCTGGAGCAGTTCAGGTGAAAAACAGGGCGGTCTTGGAAGCTCTTAATAAATTCAACTACAAAATAAGGTGTTGCAACAGTTGAAGATTCATTGTATAGTGAACAAAGGTCAAAAATCAGAAAGGTTCTCCTAGCTCCACCTGTGAACTTTACTGTAGAGAGAAACATCTGTCACAACAAAAGCAAGTGAAACAGATAAAAAGATGAATGAGAGCAGCAGCTTGATTCCTAAAATCAGATGGCCTGGATCATTCTGGCCTTAAAATACAAGCAAGTCTTGCTATATATTAATTTCTGGTTTCTTTCACATGTGAAAAATATTCTAGTTTTTCAACATTTTGCAGGACAAGCTCTTTTAAACACCTTCCCTCTAAAGTTGTTAGTTTTAGGTACATTGTAAAACCCTATCCAATGTCCAGATATTGAGGGTACAGTTCACCGAGCGTTGTTGGTTTGTACTATGTGTTCATATTGAAGTAGAGCTGGGTAATCGTTATCATAGTGTAGAAAAAAATGGTAATCCGGGGGCCCTGGACTGTAAAGTAAGCTTCTTCTGGGAAGAAGGCAACTGAGACAGAAGTCATGGCCTGCTCCCTGACCTGTCAGAGCAGCTGTGCACATGACCTGGAATCAATTGCCAATTGTGCTCCCTGACTGCTTCCTCCCAGCAGACTGTGAGTAGCGAGAAGGAAGAATGCTGACTCCAGGAAAACAGAGAGCACAGTCCTGCTCATTCCTCCATACTAATTTACAGAGGTCAATAAAGGTAGAAACTGTAGGGCAGAAGCAATGGGAATACGACTCAAGAGATACTACATGCCTGTTAAGAGAAAATAAAATTGCTACTCAGTATTAACAAGTTCTAGTGAAATACAGTACCTAAAGTTCTGCAGTGCACCTTACCCAGCCTAGAGCTGTCTTCAAGCTTAGTCCTGCTCACAGACGATTTCTTCATATTACAGAGATTTTCGAAGCCATCAGGTATTGTATCAAATACATTGCAGTTCTCACATAGACTCACAGACAGTTCCTCCAGGCAGATTAATTTGTCCAAATGTGAAAAAAGTAGTTCTGTGATGAAACCAGACAAAAATACAATGAAACTGGATTGATCTGCTTAATCCCTCTGCTCTTCTGACAGTTTGCCAAAGTTTTTATAGCTGAACTTCACTATCTAGCTTACATCCTAACATCTTTAGCTTCCCTTTCCTTGACTGTTGCTTCCTATCTTCCTTGTACCCCTGCCCTTCCGTGCCAGCCTATCCTTCACCGAGGCTTCTGCTGCTTGCAGACTGTGCGTATGCCTGGCAGGATCCCATTCTTCTGTTGTTTTCTTCTGTTCTTCTATATTCTTCTATTTTGAAAGCCCAGTGCAGACCCATTCAGATTGCCCCAAGCAGAAAATGCATGTCATCAGTGCCTGCTAGCTTGTCCTCTGTACTGCACTATCCTCTGTGCTGCACTATCCTCTGCTGAAGTGCAGTTCTGCCTTTGTAGTGACACACGCCTCTTAGATCAAAAGCCAGTATTGAGGTCATAGTCTGAAATTGGGGGCCAGGATGGAAATCGGTTAATGCAGAATGTCTGCCTATCCCATTAAATGCATATAGTAGAAGACAGCTTTATTATTCATGGATATGGAGCTGTTCATTTGTCAGGCACAAAGGGAAAAGGAAGAAAAAGGGAACTAAAGAAAAAAAATTACATTCTGCCAAAATTCAGTATGCTGTACCTGGCATTTCTCTTTCATCTACCTCAAGACATTCCACAAAAGACATCAAAAGAAGTACTTCTTGCTCTATTATGCTCAAGTTAAGATGATGTAGACTACATTTTTTTTAAAATGTTCCTTGTACTGTTCAATAGTTGGACAGATAGCTTCTAGAAATCCAGGACTGTTATTCAGATGAAGTTCAATGTAATCCAAAATGGAAAACAGTGTAATGAAATTTCTGAGGTCAGCTTCCTGAAAAGAACTGATGTTGCTGACTTCCTTGTTGTAGGTAGCAAAGGACACACGATGGAGTCTGGTAGATGTCTTTGTATCAGTGAAAAAAAAATCTATGAATATTTTTTTCTTCTTCTTCCACTTTTTGTGCAATGTCATTAAGATGTGTAAATGCAGGAGCGTAATCCCGGTCAATTGTTGTCATCTCCAGTGAAGAGTAGCAAGTACCTATTTCAGACATATTAAATTCTTGTTTGTGTTCACTTCCTTGTACTGCAAACTGAAAGCTACTGGGTAATCCTGAAAAAAATGCAACTGAGATTTTTGTGGTGATAAAACTGAACCTAACAAAATGTCTTAGCCTCTTCGAAACTGAAAAATGATTGGAGCACACACAGTGACAGTATTACTCATAAACTACAGAAACAGCAAAGTCCAGTAAATACTAAATGAAAACTGGAAGAAGCTGTTGTGGATCAATAAAACTTAATTGGTCCATGAATAACATTCTTCTTGGAAGGTCTGAATGGTGCTGCAGATTTTCATAATTTTCTGACTGTCTTTCCAATGACTCCTTGCAGTCAATCAATTTAAATAAATGGGATATAACTTGGGGGACTGCTTTGGAAGAAAAGCTGCAAGTATAAACCAATAAAAAATTATAGCGCCCAGTAACTTTTCTAAATGTGTTGGTTTGCTGCAAGTACTGCAGCCCTCACTCCAGTTTTTCATCAGAAACCAGGAGCTCACTCAGTCTTCTCCCTGCAAAAGAAACTCCTGGAACAAGTGATGAAAGAATTTATAAACTGGGTTAAGTCTTTGGGCAGTAACCCAGCCTAACAGCTTCATCTCCATCAACTCCTGCTTCCAACAGATCATACTCAGTGAAGTCAAAGGATGTCTTAAAAAGACCAGTTAAGGCAAGCTCACCACATGAGGCAAACATGTGCATTTTCTTCACTGTATTTTAGTAAGTGATAGAGTAGATAGGCTTTAAAAATAGCCCTGTCACTAACTACTACTACATTGGGTGCTGTACCCAATACGCAGCAAGAGACACCATAAGAAGTGGTGTCTTTAGAATGGTCTGCATAGACTTTTTAAGCTCCAGCTGCAAGATAAGCTGCTGCACAAGGTCAGTTTTGTAGGGGTACAATTTATTTAGTACATACAGAGTGCTGGACAGGGGAAACTTTGCAATGCTTGAAGTGGTGGTCGCATACTTGCAAATTTCTCATCCTGTCAGTATGGACAGCAACAATCAAACAATGCTGATAGAGATGGTTCTTTTGTATAAGTTCTTCTACAATACGGGGCACTGAATTAATCTCACTATAGTCATCTAGAAGAAATAAGACCTGTTTTTTCAGTGGCTGAATTACATCTCTTAGAGTTGTTTCTGTTAATGGTCCCACAAATCCTACTGTTTGATTGCATAAAATATCAGCCATGCTCTGATCTGATCTTGCGTAATTCAGGGAGAGATAAAATACAAATTTAAACCTGCTCAGAATAGGGCAGCAGCCTGAGGCCCAAAGAAGAGCAACTTTCCTGAGCAATGCTGGTTTTCTACTTCCTGCTTCACCTTCCAGCACAATGGTGGAGTTAAGGTTTGCAAGGACTTCATGAAGAAAGAGCTGCTGTATTGGCTGATCATTAATATCCTTTGAGACAATTGATAGGTCCCCATAGAGTAATTTCAATAGCCAAATGGTTTGAGTCCCCAAAGGAAAACAATTTTCTGAAACTCTTATTGTACGCCTTGCTAAGTTGTTCAGTCAAGTTTTTGGCTTCTCGAAGACACTGACTTTCAACAAGTGTCATGCCTGCAAAAAGGATGACATCAAATAATAAAACCAAGTGAGCAGTTGATTCTGTATATGAAAGTCAAATATAGTCAGCTGTCCATTAAACTGGAGTGATAAGAACCTGATATTTTCTAGATTATGGAAAAAAAACTGGCATCAGTTCTGGATAACCAAGTTCCCACAGTTTCTCTTTGTCCTACTCACTTGGGTTTGCACCCATCTGGTTTAATGTGGGGTTAGTTTGTGTACAGACAGTAATCTAGAGATTTAAAACTGTTACTATGCTTTCAGAGCTCTAAAATGTGATTTTAATGCCTTCAAAAATTACAAAACACCTCCATCTGGTACATATATCCCAAATAATTTTGGCATTTCGGGGTGGCAGTAATAGCCGTTTTTGTATTAACAGAAAGCTGCTAAAGAAAGCGTCTGGGTGGTACCACTATGGCAAAGTTACTTTTGAGTTATCAACGCTGCGCTTGCATAATCAGCATTGTTCTGCAGCAACTCAGTGCAAACTCATTGTGTATGAACTCTTCCCTCAGGAATCCCCACACATGTATCAACAAAACCACTTCCTTGAAATGGCCACAGTATTTGGAAAAAGGAAGCACACGAAGCAAAAGATAGTGGAAGGTTATCGGAATTTAGTTTCTTTTGTATCTAAAAGCATGTATATATAACATGTAGTACACAGCTAATAGATATATTGGCAATTTTCCAAAACATGAGTGAAAAAATATCATACCATATTGTCACAAAAGAATTTAATTTGCTTATATGCTTCATCTGCACAGAAATTACTTTCACCTGCTAAGGGATTGGTTTATATTCACAATTACAAAAGCAAGCACTAGGTTCTCTACTATTTGTTGTCCCTATATATGGACAATCCACAAATCCTACCTCAGTCCTTACTTCAATGAAAATTTTGTCTGAGTAAGTATGGGCCAAATCCAGAAAACCACTAACCATCCTCTCAAACTAAAATGCAAATTCAACACCACCATCCTTTCAAGCAAAGCTGCACAGTACTTACCAGCTCCTAGAGAATGTAAGGTTGCTTTCTCTTCAAGATTTGCTTTGCAGGGAGTTTGCTAGAACCAAAATTAATCCAGTTATACTCCCTTAAGTATTTATTATTTAGTTCAAACTGAGTTGCTTAGGCACCAGCAGCTACAAGGACAATTTACTGGAGGTGCCAGAGCAGAGATTCCCCTGCAGGCAGTGGAGGACCCCATGCTGGAAGAGGTGGCTGTGCCTGAAGGAGGCTGTGACTCCATGGGAAGGACTCTGCTGTGAAAGGGACCCCACGCTGGATCAGGGAAGACTGTGAGGAGCCCTCCCCTGAAGAGGAAGAAGCACCAGAGACAACATGGGATGGGCTGACTGCAACCACCATTCCCTGCCCCCTGCACCACCCTGGGGAGAAGGTAGAGAAATTGTGAACAAAGCCTTTGGGCCCAGGAAGAAGGGAGGGGTGGGGGAGAGGTGCCTTTTTAAGATGTAGTTCTCTTTCTCATTGTCTTGCTGGTTTTTTTCATTGTTAACAAACTAAAGTGTTTTTGTGTTTTTATCAAGTCCAAGTTTTGTGTTTCTTGCCTGTGACCATGAGTGGTGAGTGAACCCTCCCTGTCCTTGCCTCAGACCACGATGTTTTTTAGCAAGAGGGTGTAGGAGTGCTTAGTTGCTGGGTAGCCTTAAACCATGACAAATGTTCAGCTAAGAACACCCTTCTCCCCCCACCTTATTGTCTGTTGCTCTTGAGGGTTTAGCCAAGAAGAGAATAACAGAAAAACAGAATGGTTTGGGTTGGAAGGGACCTTAAAGATCAGCTAGTTCCAAGCCCCCTGCCCAGGGCAGGGACACCTCCCACTAGACCAGGTCGTTCAAAGCCTCATCCAGCCTGGCCTTGAACACCTTCAGGGAGGAGGGATGCACAACTGCTCTAGGCAACCTCTTCCAGTGTCTCACAACCCTTACAATAAAAAATTTCTTCCTAGAAATTTAATCCTTGTAGGGGAGGTGCTCCAGCCATAATCTTTACAGCCTTCCTCTGAACTCGCTCCACCAGGTCCCGGTCTTTTTTTATGTTGCAGGCCGCAGAGCTGGATGCAGTACTCCAGGTGGAGTCTCATGAGACTAGAGGGGCAGAATCACCTCCTTGGACCTGCTGGTTATGCTTCTCTTGATGCAGCCCAGGATCTGGTTAGCTTTCTAGGCTGCAAGTACACATTGCCAGGTCATGTTCAACTCCTCATCGACCAACATGGCCAAGTCCTTCTTCTCAGGGCTGCTCTCAATCCACTCTCCACCCAGCTTCTCTTTGTGCTTGGAATTGCCCCAAACCACATACAGGACCTTGCACTTGGCCTTGTTGAACTTCATGAGGTTTGCATGGGCCCACCTCTCAAGCCTGTCAAGGTCCCTCTGGATGGCATCCCTTCCCTCCAGCATGTTGACCACGCCACACAGCTTGGTGTCGTTGGCAAACCTGCTGAAGGTGCACTCAATCCCACTGTCCATGTCTCCAACAAAGATGTTAAACAACACCGGTCCCAATACTGACCCTGGCAGAACACCACTCATCACCAGTCCCCACTTGGACATTGAGCAGTTGACTGCAACCCTTTGAGTTCAACCATCTAGCCCGTTCCTTATCCAGTGAGTGGTCCTTCCATCAAATCCGTGTCCTTCCAATTTAGAGACAGGGATGTCAGGCAGGACTGTGTCAAGGGCTTTGCACAAGTCCAGGTAGATGATGTCAGTTGCTCTGATGTCAGTTGCAGTTCTGGCCACTCATTCTAGCCTCAGGATCAAAAAACACTGTGACCACCAAACAACAGTTTGTATAAACTCAGGTCTTACACTTTTGCAAATTCATTGCTTTTCTTATAGGACTATAAGGTTAATGAAAGTGAAACTTAAACCACACAACCGCAGACACAACTGTAAAAGAATTCAACACAGCAGTAACAGAACTGTTTCGAGTTGTACCATTAAACCTAAAGTATGTTTTCAGCACATTTGTAACATCTGTGTTTGAGTTGCCTTACTGAAGGCCAAGGTGAATAGCTACAATACTTGAAATTAATATGTGAAGTGTCCCCCAACTAATTGCTCAAAAACATCTTTGTTAAATTCTTACCAAAAAATATTCTGACCTATAGAACTCCACCATCCATCAAAAACACAAGCTTATAACAATCATATAGGAAATATATTTTCAGGGCTTATTTTTGAACAAATAATGAAACAGAGATGAAATCACTATATCACCAGTTTTATCACTTTCACATTTACAAATATACATGTTACCTACAACAGCAATCCAAAGAAGCCAGACAAGAACTGTTCTTTTCAGACAAGAAAAAAGAAATACATCAGATACAGATAGATAATTCAGGAATATATTAACAGTAACCAAATCATTAATACATTAGGTAAAAGTTAAAGTTTGCTTCCAAGCCAATGTTCACCCTTCTGTCATCATCTAGGTCCTTCTTGTTTTTAGGTGCCTCAGTGAAAGCTGTGGCTGAATGAACAAAATAGATCTATGCAAGAATGACACAGATATGACAATTTCTAAAAGCAGTCATACAGATATGGGAGCCGGGTGCTCGTGAATACAGCCAGGACAGCAGTGCAGAGAATCATGAACAAACAAATCACATTCCACGCAAAATGCACTCTGACACAATTTACATATGTAAACCTGTGCGGAAAAGACAGAAAAACAAATCAGACAAATTAGAAAAAAATTATCACCATCACAGCACTACAGCAGGGCAACAGCTGTGTCATCAAGACAGTGTAAACAGAGAAAATATACTGCTCACGTCACAGAAACGCAACTGAACTGAAGTTTCTAACAGGAAACATCTCCAAAGGGCTGAGCTTGAGTCACTGTAAATGCTTCCAAATGGCTAAGAGTGGAAGCTTATTTATGCAACTCTCTAAGAAATCCCTTCCCAAGTTTGTATAGCCTTTCCAGTCTAAAAGGTGTGACTCTATGACAGAGAACTCTAGTTAACCACAAGATGAACTTCCACAAATATTCTCCTGGTCTTTAGAAGACTATACTAGAGGATCATCTCTGCTTCTGACATTGCATTGCTCAGTGCAAATTCCAGTGCAGTTCAACATACTTACATTTTGATCTTTCATTTCTCCCTGGCAGCCTTGACAATACCTGAAAGCAAAATTTAGTATTTTAACTGAAAGAAATGTCAAAATTGTGTAAAACGGTGTTTAAAAAACACCTAATGCTTAAGAACAATTTATGGCAATTATTTTAGCCATTCAGCTGAACACACAGGGTAACTGTTAACAGCAACTACAAGTATTCCTTATTGCCAGAGGTGACCAAAACCCTCCATTCAACAGTGTCTTCAGTAGCAAAGAAGCTGCTGCCAGCTGTTCCTACTTTCATGACAAAAATGTTACAGGGTCCACAAGTACACTAATTATCACAAATATGATTCGCATACCGTTCCCCCTGATACTCTTCCAGAGGAACTTCCTGAAAGGCATCCAAAGGAAACAAGTGATGGTAAGACCGAGCCAGGTGAGGTGCAGACACTAACGTGAGACCTGCAAATAAAGAGACATGAAAATTATAAGAGAGGACTTACTGAGAAGCTTTTCTGCATTAAACAAAGCAAAAAGGACAAAAGATTAATTACTCAGTGGTTCAGAGCTTTTAAGAATTAAAAACCATAAAATTATTTGTTCATTAGCTTCCATAATCCAAACATGTAATCCTCTCCAGAATTAAATACAAATACAAAACCAAGCAAATTGCACAAAATTTCTAATTAAAAGGTTTAACTCAGTCTTTAGAAGTACATTTACAATGAACAGCTGTAAAGTTAGCAAGTTTTTCATCCTCATGCCATAAATAAAATGCAACCATAGAAGAGTCTTCTGATTAAATCTAAATGCACAACTCCTCTTTGGCAATGATGCTTCTGCTGTTTCACATCGCCAATTAAAATGGTGCCCCACTACAAAGCTCCACTGCAGCCTGCTGTAATATTGCTAAAGCCATGCCATAGCCCTGTTTCAGCTAACAAAGGCCTGCTGGTTTTGGCTGTAATAGTTAATTTTCTTCACAGTAGCTGGTATGGGGCTATGTTGTGGATTTGTGCTCAAAACTGTGTTGACAACACAGGAGTGTTTTAGCCATTGCTGAGCAGTGCTTACACAGAGACAAGGCCTCTTCTGCTTCTCACAGCACCCCACCAGAGAGTAAGCTGGGGGTGCACAAGAAGTTAGGAGGGGACACTGATGCGACAGCTGACCCCAACGACCAAAGGGATATTCCATACCATACGATGTCGTGCTCTGCAATAAAAGTTGGGGAAGAAGAAGAAGGGGTAGAATGTTTGAAGTTATGGCATTTGTCTTCCAAAGCAACTGTTACGTGTGATGGAGCCCTGCTTTCCTGGAGATGGCTGCTGATGGCAAGTAGTGAATGAATTTCTTACTTTGCTTGGCTTAAGCACACGGCTTTTGCTTTACCTATTAAACTGTCTTTATCTCAACCCACAAATTTTCTCACTTTTACCCTTTTGATTCTCTCCCCCATCCCACTGGGAGGCAGTGAGTGAGTGACTGTGTGGGGCTTATTGCCATCTGGGATTAAACCATAATAAAAGGCTAGTGTTAGCTGGGGCATGGGCTGGCACAAACTTTTTAATCGCTCACTCACATACAGTGTAAACTTCTGAGGTCTTGGTCTCCTGACAGCTGCAGCTGTGAAGAACCTGTTGCTGATACATAGGACTTCTCCAGTTACACTACTACCCTGCTGAAACAAAACTCACGCTCACACGAAAATCTTGACATGAAACTGGGACAAGGTGACCCAAAACTAGAATGATTTCATCCTCTTATCAAATACCTATCCTCTTTATAATACCTATCAGATTTTAATCACATGCCCTGAGAAGCTAATAGGAGGACAGCTGTCGCTCACACATATTAATACTATAAAAAAGGCTAATCCTCCCTCCCATCCGTATTGTGGGGGGACGCACCATAAGTTGTACAGTCCATTAACAGGTGCAACACCGAAGGGCTTCCATTCACAACTCTATAGCCTTTCACGTGTCACTGTGCAGCCTGCCCTTGGGTTCAACTTTGAAACGTTTTATCCCCATACTCCCAGAGGTGAAGGGGTATTTCTGTCCTTTTACTCCAAAGCACTCTATCTTCACGGCCTTGAGTGTCCTTGAGGAGTCCAAACATTAGTGTGCCTGTTAGATCAGCATTCTTGAGGAAATTATTACCGTTCACATGTGAATCACCCTTCTTTCCCTCCTGTGCTTGAGTGCTTTCAGTTTACAACATTATACTGGGGAATATGATACAGCTTTACTGTTACAGGTATAGTCCTGAAAGTCCCTTGTACGAAGCTGACATCCCAGGATACAAGAATGTAGGCTTCTTAAAGCAGAGCTGGCTTTTGAATCCTACATATAGTTGAATTTTTCTACTCCTTAACTCTCTTACCACCATGTCTTGATTCATCTCTTCACCTTTTCTTGCTACTCACCACAGATTTTGCATTCCACAGGAAGTTCACAGTATTTGGCTCTGCACTGGGGACAGAAATATCCACCCAGTGTAAGACCTGGCTCACTGTTGTTTTCCAGTTGCCTAGATTAGGGAGAGACAAATCAATACCCAAGAGAGAACACCGTAACACCAATACTGCATAACTACAAATACTACATAGTTCTCACAACAAATAGTTTAAAAAGTTTTATTAGCTTCCACACAACAATTCCATGTGTATGGAAGCATCAGAAAGCAACTGATGGGGTGGGACATCAGCAACCACATTTTCCCTCAGAAACATAACAAAGACCAAATTTTCCCACAGTAACAAGCTAATACATCTTTAAAAAATTAAGTTATGAAAGATAACAGCATTAGTATTTGTACTTATACACACACAAATATTCTGTATTGACTTTAAGATGCACATTAGTACTTAGTCTTTCAAACAGCTGATGCTGTTTCCTTCTGAAAATTCAGTCTCCTGTATTATCCCTGAAAACCAATTCCTTTCACTGAGAAGAGCATTGGTACACTAATCAAGTAAGGCCTCTATTTTGAACATCCCTTTAAAGTCACATAAAAAACCACTTTATTCCAAATAATACCCTTCATCCTCATTATCTTTACAGTGATAAAAATACTCGAATCAAGAAATGCAAGTAAAATTGGTAGTAATTACTTTAATACCTCATAGCACCACTGCATTCTAATTACTGCATAACACAACTAAAAGCCATTTACTACTTTAAAAAAAATTTTACATGTAAATTTTAAAAAGCATATTTAACAGAGGTAACTACAGCCATATACTGGATATGCAAGTGGAAATAAATTCTACTGAGAAGTCACAAGACATTACTTACTATTTTTTCATGTTATTTTGCAATATTTTCACTGAAAAGCAGATTTTCTAAATGTCACTAATTACCACTGAATTCTAATCAACTCTACTTACGCCATGCTAAAGGATGGTTTTGCATCTTGATCAGATAGAGAAGCAATAGTATGCTGAGGAAAACCTGAAGACAAAAAGATCCCATATTACCAATTTTAAACATAAAAGTAATCTTTCAGTTTCTTACTTCAACAGGGAAGTTAAAAGATGATTCTAAATATTGAGGCCTATCTCTTTTTTTTTGTTTGTTTTTGTTGTTATTACAGGAGAAGTAATACACTCTTACTAGGTATCAAATTCTTCCCAAACGTCTCTACCTGCATCCACCAACAAATCCCTCATTGTATTTCCCCCAATGAAAATATAATCTTTTCACAGACTTCATATTAACTAAAGCTCACTGGCACTCCATTTTTGAATAGCTAAAGAGAAAATTATGTGCAACGACAGGATAGCAGAGAGAGCGGTACATGAATGTTTACTTGAACAATGGTTTCTAATTAAGGGGAAAATATTTCTATATGCAGACACCAAGCATATATTCACCTTCCAAGTGCAGTATATGACAGATGAGACTATAGCACTTCACAGAGGCTGTAGCAGATACCATCCTTTCTAACACTTATTTTTTACTGCTCATGTCAAGCAGGCAGCTAATTTTTCCAACTGCTGCTCAGGCTTTACCCATTAGGAGTACATCTCTTCAGTATTTAAATCTACACATAAAAATACATATATTCTTGTCTGTGAAACAAGTGGATGAAAGTGAGAAATCGATGCTCTTAATTTGTGGCATTAGAGTTCCTTTTCTGGTTTAACTCTAGGCTTAAATTTATTGAGAAATACACAAGGAGAAGAAAAGGTACCTAATCCATTTCTTGAAAGAATACCACAAAGGTACTCCTAACAAACATGTACTACATGGCCAAACAGATGGCTCTCACAGTCAATTAAGCTTATAATAGGTGCCTTCTGCAGGGGAAAAAAAACAGACGAAGAAACAAAATATAGTTTCCATCCTTCATTTTTAAGTATTATACTCACACCAATTACCGCACAAGCAATATAATTTCACCTTATTGTTTCTAGCTGCTAGTGATTTGTCTTATTTAATTCTTAACTTTATTTAAAAGCTTTAAAAAACACCAAGAAAATTGATACCTATTTAGCAAAATAAAAGCTAAAATTAAAAAACCAATTGTGCAGCGTCTTTATTATGCTTCTAACCATTTGTATGGCTTTACCACAGAAGATGAAAACAATGAAAGGACACAACATCCGCAAATCTTGTTTTAGGACTTCAACAAAACTATATCCTACCCATTCGAATAAGGGAGCACTCAGAACTTGAACTGGCAGGTGGAGGACTAACATAATGCATCAGCAGCTCCTTATAATGACTTTCATCTAAAATAACGTGGTATGTTCCTGTCATGAAGAAAGAAACGCCTTACTCTCAGATGATGAGCAAATAAGACATGCAAACATACTCTCCAAATGACAGAAAACAACTTCAGTTAAAAACCCCACAACTTAGCCATCCCTGTTCCTAGAAAAAAGTAGTTAATGCTACTGAAAACTACAAGTTTTAAATAACACCAGATTAGGTAATGAAGGCCCATAGCTTCTTCTCCAACATTACACTGAAGTAATGATATTGTAAGAGTTACCATTGTAGTAACTGATATTAACATGTTATATTAATTAAATTTCATATCACAGATCTTTATATGTGGAACACTGAGTTTTAAAATATAAATCTTTCTTCTCTTTAGAGATGCAACTACCAGTTGATAATACTTTCACTAAACAGTGTGTATTTTGTCAGCTTGGGAAACCCTTAGATCTTCTGACAGCACAGAAGAATATTAATCCTTAAATATCAAAATGCATTAGTGAGTATATGACAAATTAGTTACTTAATTTTGCTTTTAAATTTGTATTGGTAGTATAACTACAGCACTTCAGATACATACCACCAGTTTCTTGGGCAAGTACTGTACAAACTCGAACTTCAGCACTTAGGCCGATGACAGATACTCTGATCTTAACTGCTTTTAAACTCTTCAAATGGAAAAATAAAGCATACTCAAATTAATGTACAGAACAGAAAACAGTAAAAAGGTTCAAGTTTTAAATGAAAATCAATTGGTGATGATGCCGCAACTGTGTGTTTTTAGTCTAATAGCTTGGATGTTCAATGTAGTAGTCAAACTTCACTTCCGTACCTTAATTAGATCATAGATGTTGGCTGGATCACATGTTGTCAGACTACTGAAGACTACCAAAACCTCTCTGCTTGTATGTCCTGGCATGTGCCTAAAGAAATTATATAGTTAATTTACTTCAGTAAACTAAGCTACTTGTGTGCTAAATCTTCCAAAGACTTTAACGTACTAAAGTCAGAAAATGACATGATATGAAGTTCCCTAAAAATTATAAAAGACTGTGGTAAGATCCTTCTCTAAGAACCATAATCTCACCTTCCAAAAGCCAAACCCTTCTCCATATCTAAAATACAGTATATTATTGTGTAGTTGTTATCTTATTGTTTGTTCTAATACTTAAGTTATCCCTGTATCTTATCTCTACTCTCACAGCTAAAATTCACCTTCAAACCAGCAACACTGCAGTAAGTCTTCCTGACTTCTTAAAATAAGTCTCTACTCAGTTTATGGGTGTAAACCTACCACTTCTAACTACTGTCTTCCAGTTCTTAATGGAAAACTCTCTTCCAAGTAATCATTCAAATAATTTTCAAGACATTTGACTACTGGTTTTGTTCTGTCAGCGTTTCTAGCTATAATTATTCGTTAAAATCTTCCCATCTCAATACCTCACATAACAATAAATTTTTTAAAAATCTACCCTTCTAAAGTATGCCCAAACTCCCACTAGATTATTGTGATTCAATGCTGTTTCTTTTCCTGTTCTCTTATCACTATTAACCCCTATCTCTGCCTTCTCTCACACCTTAGCCCTCTAGTAAAAAGTACTTGCAAGGTCTTTTATCACCATATTCATACACAACACAAAACGATCTACTTAATTTTAAAATAGTTGCTTTTCATAAGAAGCACACCGGCAAATAGAAGCATCTTGTGGTAGAAAATTAATTTCTGCACTACCAGCATATCTCACTTCTCAACAGTTTTTACTGTAAGGGGAGATAAAGCTGCTTTTTAAAGACTCAGGTCAGCAGGATGCAAGATGCTACTTGTAAAAAATACTGTCTCTGTCCCTCCAAAAATTCACAATCAGCACCATACTTATTATGGAAAACTAAGAAAACAAAAATACTGCACATATATACTAACTTTAAAGTCTGCATGGCCAAAATTAGGGAATTATATAGAGATGGCTCTCCACTGCAGTTCATATCCACTGCTTTCTTCAGAGCAGTTATATGCTTTTTTGAGTTACCTGTAAGTGAAAAAAACAATTCACCTGAAATAAGAAGTTAAAATAACTGAAATATTTAAACTATATATTTAATGAGGTGTACTTGTACAACAAGTTTTCAAACTGTGACTTGTAATTTCCTGCTTCTCCTTAGAAATTTACTTCTTTGTCTGAATGTAGAAAACAATAAAATAATATATGACAGAAAGTGATTTACAGGCATTCAATTGTTAGAAACTTTAAGAAGTCAAAAAGAATAAAACCCTTGTTGTATATCATTAAGCGCTTAACATGAGTGTTAAGTGTCTCGCAAAGTGTTTTAGTAGAAACAGAGTTTAGTTTCTCCTCTTATCCTTAAAGTACTGTTCAAGGATTGACTTATTCTCAAATTCTTCAACAAACTTGCTCCAGTTTTACGTGAATAAGAGAAAAAAATAAGACTTAATCTCTGAAGCCACAAGGATTGCTAGTGACAGAAGGCAGGAACCAAAGAAACCTTGCTTCTTAACATCCAGACAGATCTCACAGAACGCAAAGATGTCATAAAATACAAAATCATCAAACAGGGTGAGAAATTAACTACAGTGGAAACAAAACATATTTTAGTTGCAATCTGGATAAGATTTGATCATGAACAAGCATACCAATGACGATTCTAGATCAAAACAGACTGAAATAAAGACTCTGGTTTCAGCTAACTTGCAATAACTTCTCTTTTAAATTAAAAACATTACATTAACACTATTTCATTTTCAACAGTGTCATCCACACAGATTACATCAACGGAAGAGATTAAAACAGATCACTGATTTAAAAAACTGTACTACCTCCCTACCTGAAAGTTCTGTCATTTTTTCAGCTCTTTTACTCTTGGTTACAATTAAGCCAATCTGGAGAAGGAAAAAAAAACAGGCAAAACTTTTTTTAGCAAGTTTAAAAACAAGTTGGTTCACATTTTTGCGATATCTTGCCTAATACTTCTTTACGGACCAGAATTACTATACAAGCTTTCTTGTAAGTGGAACAACAGCGGCATAACACTATGTATCAGTTAACATACATTCCTCTATCTCCTCTACTTTTGCCACAAGGTACAAAAATAAATCTGAAATTCTCAATGCCTGGGAAAAAAAAAAATCAATTTTTCTGTGTTATAATTTATGTTTAGGAAAAAGAGAACAGATGGGTTCTTGTTTTCATTACTTCAAGCAGAACCAAGAATTTCACCAGGCTGCTGAGAAAAGGATGTCAAGGAACACATCAACGGAAAACAGTTTACTAGGTAGTGTTAAAAATAAAACTAACTTTTAAAATAGTTTTCAGTTACTTGTTTCTTGCACAGTTGTACATACCTGACTAATAGGATTTTGATCAAAGTACTCTTCAACAAAATATTCCAATAACTACAAAGAAAAGTTAAGACTGTTAAAAACTAAATAGTTTTATTCCATATGCATTAAGTAGCTGGTACTTGCAAAACATCCAGTATAATTAAAAAAAAAAAAAAAGTTGCAAAAAAAAAAAAAAGGGAGAAGGAGCCCTTCCATTCCATTCTCCTTCCTCCCATGTTACCAATGCAATGTAAATTTTTAAAACTAGCCACATCTTATTTTATTCACTTCAGCTATTAAAGTTCTAGATTAATGTTGGTTCAAACTGAGGTTTAAGATACACCAAAAAACACTAATCCATACAAAATCATCAAAGCCCAGCTTTTTAATGCTTAGTATTATCAGAGAAGATCATACAGTACAAAATCTACAGTTCAAGTCCTCCACAGTCTGAGGCAGCAATCCAATTCAACTCCCATCTAGCATCCATTCAAACCAGAATTCACCAAAACACAATTGTAAGAAAAAAAAAAAAAATCTAGATGTGCAATGAAAGCATATTTGTTCTTTTTCCATCCCTTATTACAGGCAACTCTTCAGCTTAATTTCCACACCCTTTTCATAATGTGTCTTTCTACAATACATCTTTACAAAATGTTTTTACTGTACAGAAGTACTCATGCAAGGCAAAGTAATGTCACACAGATTTTACTATTCAAAAACCAGGAAAATTACAGACTAGCAATAGAAACAAGGGAAAAAAGTAGGGATGAGAGGAGAGATGAGCCTATACAAGTAATCTATCACACAAGACTGCCATTCTTTTACAAAAAAGAACGTGGATTAACAGAAAACCACACAGATCACAGAAATACCTTCAAAGTGCAAGTAAGTCTGTTCGGTTTTAAATCTTGGTCCTCCATAGTTCTTGATCCATCAACAACCACGTAAAGGTGACGCATCTGTATTATCACCAAAAGTAATAATCACTAACAGAACAGATATTTAAATGAACAGTTCTTTATTCCATTTACTTAAAAAAGTAACTACTTCCTCCCTCAAACAGGGAGCTATGCAATCAACAGCAACTAAAAAAAGCACTGCATTTTTTCACTTTTCCTTAAAAACGAAAAAAAAGACTATCTTGAAAAACGCACAGTTCTTATCCTCTCATGATAAGCTACAAAATATGCATAATTTGCACCTTCATCTCTTCATCTGAAGAGCTCAGCATTGTATAAAGTGATGTTGTTATTTACAACTCATTTAAATTATGCCAATTTTTCACAGGAAGAAAAACTGTCCATGCAAGTGTGTGTGATCTGACTACTGTTGCCAAACACAACCCGGTACAGCAAACGTGCCAAACCTCCACCTCTGAATACTCATGCTTCACATTCCACACTGCCACCAAAGAATGTTAGGGTTTTTTTAAAAAAAAGTTTTGGTAGAAAACGCAAGCTTCGGTCTCAAGCACATTAAGTCTGCAAAGGTGTACTTCAGACAGGGCATACCACCTCTATTAAAGGAGTTCTGGACTCAGGATAGACATACCATTCCAAGTCGAACTTGTCCATGGTGTTCGTAGAGCCTAAAAAACCACAAAAGGATTTAAGTAAGATGCAAATGAATAAATGGTTCCTAAAAGTGCAGAACAAATGTAATACTAGACTTCTGTCAAATATGAAGCAATAACAAACCACAGACTGAAAAAAAAAAAAAGAAAACCAAATTACAAACAGACTTCATGCCTCTCAGAAACCAACCAAACAAAAGCTATTTCCTACTATCAGGTGTAAAGGAACTTTAAAATTTTATCCAAATCTGAATATTTTAACATAATCTGAAATAAATCTGACTTTACCTAGTAATTTTTCTGACAATTTGGAACACAAATCTGATACCAAAACCCAGCTTTAAGTCTTGGTTTGTTTATTTTAAAAAACGTTGAAGGATTTTCTCTAAGCAGTGCAAATTGCAATTGCAGTGCTTTGCACCGTGTTTCATCAGGTTAAGACCTCACCTCTTTAGCTAGCATCCAGCTGGGGTATCTAGCCTGTATACATTCAATCTTAAGATTAAAGACCAAAATAAATGTCACTATTTTTTCTAGAACAATTAATACGTAGTAGGCAAGAAGTCTGATGGGGTAGAGGCACTAAAATACCCGGCAGGCGTGCCGATACGCTTACACTACCTAGAGCACAGTTTCAGAATGATTAAGTCCTTGTAACTGACCAGACCCGCACCATCCGCAGGCTGGCGGCGACACCTAATAAATACCTTTTCCTCTTCGCCTTGAAAAGAATGTCCTCGATGGTCGCCTTCAGCGATCCGGATTCATCTTCTTTAAGAATTTCCCTAAGAAAAACAGAGTGTTAACCGAGCGGAAGGGAGATTCTTCTCACCGTTCGCCAAGAAGAAGGTGAGGAGGGCAGAGGAAAGCCTACCATGTCCCCTCGTAGCCTCCCTCCCAGCGCTTGGTCCGTTCGGGTTCCTCGTCCATCGCCGTGGCTCCGCTCTGCCCCGCTGCGACTCCCGCCCTAAAGGGAGGCCTCGTTACGGCGCCGCGCGGCGGGTGAACAGGCTGTGAGGAGGGACCGGCTCCAGGCAGGCCGCC